GACGACGACGACTGCTACTACGACTAGGACTAGGACTCGGGCTACGACTGCGAACGACGACCGACTGCCGACTGCAACTTGCTACCACGACTCACGTCTACGACTAACTACGGCCACCAAAAAGCCCACTGCCACCACCACATCGACGACGACCGGACTGCCCCGACGCTCACGAAGATCATTCCCCAGCCTGCAGCAAGAATCAGGTCTGATGCCCTCGCATGCAGCAGAGCCGGAGTATGACAGACCCGCTTATGTCCGCCACTGAGAGTCTGCAAAGAGTTTTCTTAACTATGATTCGGTCAAGGTCATCACATCCTTCGCGTTTGTCACTGGTTTGTGTGTTCCTGCTTCCATTTCTATCTAGAATCTAGGATCCGTGTTTTCAGTGCCGTTCATCTTCGTTTTCTCCTTGTAGTCCAGTCCGTGCGGTGCCGGGAATTGGGTGGCTGTTCGCCGGGCAGATGTCGATGGAGGGCAGGCCATAGCTTGGCGGAGCCCGTTCTGCTAAAGTGATACTCATCTTCGATTGCATGTCTCAGCAAGACGTCATTCAGACACATGCCAAGGTGATCGATGCCCGTCATGGCACACAGACGATCATGGGGGTCAGCTGGGGTCTCGGGCATCTTGGAGCTCAAAGCAACCCGGGGGGATCCCAACAAAATCTCGCCTCAGATGGCGCGACGCCGGCCATCGCCGAGTCCCATGCAGCCTGGCCCTCGATGGCCGATCTCTGCCGTCGCCATCACAGCCAGAAGCTCCGAAAGAGTTCAGGGCCTCGGCCTGGTAAAGCGGCAGAAGCAGCTGGAATGCCACCCCACACGCAAGTGCCCCTCCCTCCCACGGTTTCTTGGGTAGCCAGAAACTTCACGATGCCTCCGAAGCCTCCGAGCACCGAGTCCTTGGCAGGTATCTGGAGGAGTGCCGCCTGGAGTGGGAGGAGTATGGGCAGAAGCTGAAGGCTGGCTCGGTGCGTGATCGACGTCGTGTTTTGCTACAAATTCCGTGTTGGTCGCTCGGCATACTCAACTTTACGAACCACTCGTGTGTTTTTTTTAGGAACCTGTTGTCTTCGGGTGTCGGGTTTATCACTCATCATGCCCCCTTGGGTTGGGGGTGTGCGGGATCCAGCTATGCTCTTTGAGTTTTCGATGTTTGCCAACAACCCGCTCATGTTTTTCTGCCATGTTCGTCACCCGCCGTTGAAGGTTGTGCCGGGAACGCTAAGGAACGCAAAAAAGAAAGCCTGGCCGCTCCAAAATGTGGGTGGTGTAAAGCGTCTCAACCGTTACATATCACGTATAATGCATATATATATATATA